GTTCTTTTCCCCTCTCCCTCCCCCTTTTTTTTTTCTTTCCTTTTTCCTTGTGTTTCCTTATTGCCTCCTGGAGTCTTTATTCTATTTATTCACTTATTTATTTTTACTTTTTTTTTTTTTTTCCTTTTTGGACTATGTCTGAGAATTTCTTCAATTCTGGTAATTGTTTACTCTCTGTTTATGTTTAAGAGTGAAGCATTAAGAAGGTTATTTGTGGGGCTGGGGAGATAGCTCAGTAGAATAAGCACTTGCCTGGCAAGCGTAGGGTCCTGAGTTCAATCCCCAGTACTGCATTAAAAAAAAAAAAAGATCATTTGGAATCCCTGAAGCCTAAGCAGAGTTTCTTGGCTTCCTTAAGTATAAGTGTGCTATGAACTAACCTCTTGGTTTAACTACTTTTAAGTGTCAGAACTTGTTAATTTTGGCTCATTTGTGTTGCTATAACAAAATACCAGAGACTGGGAAGTTATAAAGGACAGCAGTTTGTTTTCTCACATTCTGGAGGCTGGGAAGCCCAGATGCAGGCATCAGGTTTGGTTGTCTGGTCAAGGTCGCTGTCTGCTTCCAAGCTGTTACCTTGCTATTGATTTTCCAGGCAAAAGGCATGCTGTGTCCTCACGTAGCATGACATGGAAGGGCAAAGGGAAGAAGTTTCTTCACTAAACTGTTTTAAGGGGCCCTGTTCCTATTCCTTCCCAAAGACCACGCCTCTCAGTATGATTATTTTGGGTATTAAGGTTCCTGCATATGAATTTAGGGGAACATAGTCAGACTATAGCTTCTGGAAATCTTTTGGGGAAGGGGAAAGCTATTAAGCTTTTCCAGAAAACACTTCTCCCTGCCTCCCCACCTAGGACATTGTATAGCTGAGCAGTAGTATTCCATAAGTAGGAGTAGGGGAACTTTATCAGGTCCCCAAGATTAGCATACAGCTGTACACTCACACCTTGCCAACCTATTGTATTTCCAGTCTGGGGCTTCTGCCATTCAATTTTTCTTTTCTCCCGTGACAGGAGAGTGGTGGTTAGCAGGTGGCTGTACCCAGCAGGAGTATAATGAATAAGTGGCTTTGCTCTGTGGCTTCCTCCAACCTTCTTGGTAATGCTATGTGAAGAGCTAATCCTCCCAGGGACTCTGTAGGCCTTAGTGGCTCTACCCTCACCTTTACTTCCCCAGGCCCTTAGGTGGCAATACCTTTTACTCCTCTATCTTTTACTGTCTAGGGAAATTTTATGGAAATGAGTTATTACTGCTCCCTTTCATTTCTTATGGGTTAGTACATTTATTTCTGAGCTGTCTTTCAAAAGGGTTGAGAAGGGAGAGAGGTAATTCAGTGGGTTTAAGCTTCTATTATTTAGTTAATTTTTAAAGAGAATACAAAATGGTAAAAAAAGAAAAGAAAAGAAAAAACATTATAAATGACACAGAATTTCACTAAACAAAATAATAGAAATTGGACAGTGGTTGCTGTATGGGCTACTATTTTTTTTTTTTTTTTTTTTTTTTTTTTTTTTTTTTTTTTTTTTTTTTTTTTTTTTTGTGGAACTGGGGATTGATGGGCTTCTATTTTTAACTAACCAAAGCATCCATGTTTTTTAGTTCAAGTATCATATCATAAATCATGCCAAGTGCAGTGCAGTGGTATACCCATAATTGTAGCTTCTTGGAGGCTGATGCAAGAAGATCACTAGTTGGAGGCCAACCTGGAAAATTTAATGGCATCCTATCTCAAAACAAGGTTTTGTTTTTCTGGTTTTTTTTCTTTTTAAAGGGTTGGGGATATAGATCAGTGCTTCCTGGTTCAGCCCCGGCATTACAAAATAAATAATAAGTAAAAAGTATTATAAATGTTGATTAGATGCTCAAGTAGTGCCGTCAGAGCCATTTCTCATGTATGCTGTTAGGTAACATTAGGTTTTGTGGGATGACCTGGAAACCTAACTTCATCTATGATTTTCCCCTAGAGGTACAGTCAAGCCTTTGTGAGTTGACTCCAGAGATAGTAGATTAGAATTTTTTAAAAATTCATATGCTTTTCCATTTTCCAAGTCTCACAGAAAAGTACTATAAATATTGTATCATCTTGATTAGAATAATAAGATTAGTAACTATGCTAAGAATTTAAATTT